GAAAGAGGAGCAAGTCAAGAGGGCCCTGGAGTGGGAGTTTGGAAGGAAAGAAAGAAGGATGGAAAGACTGGGAGAAGTGAGCACGAGCCTGTACGTACCTTATCTTGGGCGCCGGGATAATGAACTTGACTGCGGCTGGTTTCTTTAGCATAACGATGAATCTGCCCATACTGTAGAGGAAGATTCATTCTCATTTTACACATAATATGGTGACATTGGTGCGTGGCAAGTGGGGACCTGATGGCCACCATCAGCTGCTGGTCACGATCATTCTGCTGCTCGGCTTCATAGTCGCTGTAGTGGTCTAGCTTGTACACGTCTCTTCCCTCTCACGTCCCTCTCACGATCTCCGTACTTGTGGCATCCGGTGGGTGCTGGTGCATGATCGCTTTCAATTGGAGGGGGTGATTTGGTTGTATAGTTCTGTGTCGAACAATGTTTTTTTGAAAATTTTTTGGGCGTTGAGCTGAGGCTAGGTGGGAAAGAACAAACAATTGTTGCTAGTGTTGGCATTGATTTGTCTCCACAACAAGGGGTCACTGTCTTCCTCAAGGCTTGTAATGATTGCTCTATGTTATTGTCATCAAGGCGGACTGTAACTGTTAGTGAGAGTCGCTATGGTATTACCATCAATTCGGAGGAACTGTTGCTGCTATGGCAAGGCACAAGCTTTGTTTTCTTGCAAGAATTATCATGTGTTTTTCTTTCAAAGCCCATCTTGTGTACTGAGAGTGGCAGCTTGTGTGTTGAAGCGGACCATTTCCCTCATTCGTAGGACTGACGCCGCTATTTTGGGATGTTGTTGCCGAGGAGCTGCTTTTGTGAGGATTGAGCCCTCAAGTAGGGGCCTTGCCATGATGTACATGTTCTGGGCTAAGGCCCCAGCAAGCCTCGTGCCCGCCCTAAGTGAAGGCGGGCCAGGAAATCAACAAGAGCCCTCTGTGCCAACATTTCACGAAGTGGGGTCCATACAGTTGCAGCATGCCAGTTGGTTGGAGTGTGAGTCTCGGATTTCAGCAAATGCTGAGAGCCCAGGGCCTCTGAGTTAGTTAGGCCCTGGGCACTCGAACGAGAGGCCAACAATGCATGTTGGGTATAGAGGCCGAAAATGCCAAAGGGAAATCGGCCCAGTATCTGAATCTGGCCGCAGGCCTCGATGAGGGAGGCGCAACTGCATTGCCCCGGGGCCCAACTGTATCGGGCTGGTTTCAGCCTCTGGGGCCCAGTCGCAGGCTGAAGGGAGGCCGCCCACACACAGCACTGGCATATAGGCAAGCAGGGCGAGTGGGCACGGATCTTGGCCATTGCGGGCAATGCCGGCACGCTGCGCTAATGCAAGTTGTTGCGCTGCTGCGCTGCGCTAAGAGAGAGTGCAAGGCAGGCATGCGCTAGGCGGTAGGGCGCTGCCTGTGCACTGGGCGCTTGGCGGCCATAGCTGGGCTGCAGAAGAGGGCGCAAAGGAGGTGAGGGCGAAGGTGGTTCTTCGGAGGTGAAGGGCGCTGTGTGGGTACAAGGGAGAATGTGGGTGAAGAGGACGCGTACCTGGTGGAGGTGGAGGTCGGCATTGGTGTTGACATCATCACTCGCTGGTAGTCAAGTTGTCTGGTTGCTTTCATTGCTGTAGTTGTAGGCTAGGCTGTAGAGTAGATAGGGCGC